TACACACACACACACACACACACACACACACACACACACACACACACACACACACACACACACACACTTAAAACATTGATGTGCTCTGTACAAGTCAACAAGAGTCACAAAGTCATGAATGTGATTAGAAGAGTAAAAGTACGCCTGACTCTGTTTTTCATATTTACACCATGCACAGTATACCTAGCGACATTTCCATGAGCTTGTGACGTGTACAGTGCTGCTGTCAGTCAATCTTGACACACAGAAAACGTTTTTTCATCTCAAGGACTTTCCTTACAGGATTAGCCTTGTCTGGCAAAACACAAACCAGCGTCAAGGGTAACGCAGAGTTATTGTGTTCAGAGAAAGGAGTTGTCTAACCCTTCCGGTGAGTTGTGAAGGGGTGGGGAGATGATGGTAGGTCCGGGAAGGGGGGATTGCAGCCAAGACTCATTGTAAAAAAGCTAAAGATGTCACCAGCCATCTACACACCACAACATACCAAACATTCCCTTAGTACTCACCGCTTTGACAGGAAAGTCCATCCCAGAACGAACTACCAATAGGATCACACAGACATTTTTGTACAGAGTTTTTGTTTGCAACACACGCTAGTCCAGATTGACAAGGATCTGTGAGGCCGGCACAGTCTACTCCATGAGCCAGTTCTAAAGAAGGCAAGGAGAAAAAACAACCGGATAAAACAACAAGGACACTAACAAAACACTAATTTCACAGAAACCTCATCATAAATATTTTCTACATAGATTCTTACAAAGCAATGATTTCATGAAACCAGAATACAAATCACTTATTTAAGGATACAGAAAAGAATGTTATATCATGATCGAACATCTCTTGTCGTCCACACAACCATTGGGGATAGACACAACAGAGAAACTCTTCAAAGCTGGTAGAGACATGGAACTGTTATACTCTAAAAAGACGATGAATTGTTCTTACCGAAAATCCTCAACACTGATGCCATGCTCAGTCTTCTTATTTAAAACCAACAGAAACAACATTCCTCCCAACTTGTCTCATCCAGTTTCATTCCAAGAAGTGTTTCCAGCCTACATCACTTTCTGAGTCTAATTTTTCATCCCATATCATTCCTTAAAATGTTTCCGTTTTACATTACTCTCTTGAGTCTTTCTCGTCCCACGCCTTCTTTCTACGATGAAAACCTGAGAGTGGTTTTGTCCTACCTAGCAGTGTGGTACAGAACAAACTCCTCATAAAACACTGTAAGGTTATCTAAGAGGCAGGACCTCCACCTTCACGTCCATCTCTGAAGGGATCAAACCAGACAGAAGAAAAGCCTTGAAGACATTCCAAACATCTCAGTCTTAGAACATGGCGATCGTGACCCTGATTAGAGCCATTTGCATCACACACCAGCGTACAAATGTTCAGGGAATATGATACAGTTTGTGGGTTTTAATAAGTAAAGAAACCAGACGCTCTATCCTCTCCGTTTTTCGACGTTTTTAAATCGGCTCTTCAAGACTTCTCCATTTCTCTTAAGGACTTCAGTTTTTCATTGGAAATCTTTAAAAACAAGAAATGTATTGTTTCTGAAAACACGCACAAACAGCGGTATTTTCTTCCTGTTTATTGTATTGGTTAGGTCGTGCACAACTTGGGACTCATTACGCAGACTGTGGGAAAATGTGAACCATTACAGGGAGCACCAAATGAAGGAGACAACAAGTAAGACTTTGTCCCTGACTGTAAGCCCGCACCAAGACTCACACACCTCTCCATGACTATCCAGCAACGGTCAAACATACTGGACATTGACAAATAACAGTACAAACTTCCTTCAAGGTAGGTAACAAACTCAAGGCACAGAACTACGAGTCCCACCACAAGCTGGATGTGACTCTGAAATTTTCTCTCAGTGTGTGTGTGTGTGTGTGTGTGTGTGTGTGTGTGTGTGTGTGTGTGTGTGTGTGTGTGTATGTGTTTTGTTTGTTGTTCGTTTGTTGTGATTTGTTGTTGTTTTTGTTGTTGTTGTTGTTTGGGGGGTTGACTCTACGTGGAGAGACATAATTCTATAATGCTGAATGTTGAATATGTATGAGCAAACAAATACTCTTGTAAGTTCTGCAAAGCCTCAAAGATCTCTCACACCTGTACTCCGGTATACAGGAGAGGAAAGCCACAGTACCGCTGTCACTGTTTGTGCCTTGAGAAATAAGTCAAGTCTCACAATAGGGCAGTGGGGCTTTTGGAGAAACTCTGGTATCACCCTATATAGGTTTACCTGTACAGCTTATGTCATATTTACTTACAGAAACATATACAATACTTCTACAACTTTGTAATAAAAGCGCATGTCCCAAGATAAATATGTGGGAGGTTTCACAGAATTATCAACATCGCCG